CTCTGTGCATGTGTAGTTTTGTTTCATCATCCAGTGCTGTCTCAATGCAACTATTCCCCTTTATATAAAAGCAATAACAGAAGAATGGTTAAGGGAATCGAGGTGAACCATCCAATATGAAATAGAAAGAGGATTTGTAAGGCATCATAGAAAGAGATTTTCAGACAGATGTCGGATGATTTCTGATGAACACAAAATTGACCGTTTCCTTATTTGGAGAAGTTAAAAGGGCCCTATCACTACAGGAAAAGGAAACCTCAAAAATAGGGCCTCTCTAAGATTAATATCAGATCTTCAAAAGGGTAAATCCAAGCACCAACATTTCCATAATGTTTTGAAATACATACTAAACTTTCCAAGGGTGGAGAAATTGATGTATTAATAAAGAGGAGGAAAAATAAAACAGCATGTGGCAAGTGTCAACAGCAGACACCAATTAAATATGAAACAAGTGGAAATGCCAAATGCAGTGAGAAGGAACAACAAAATGCCATGAATAACAACAGATGTAAAATACAGCTTCTGATTATGATCTTTGGAAAATCTATTTAACATCAGATGGCAAAAACTATTCACATTTCTTTTGCTGTTTATTTATGTGGACATGTGTTAACAGCAGACACACATGAACATGAGACTAAAGTAAATGCCAAATAAGGTGAGAAGCAGCAACAACAACAACAACAACAAGTCATGAATAAGAAGAGTGTGCAGGACAATGTACATATGATTTTGCTGCTAATTTCCCCCTGACATACCTCGCCATTACATCTCGTGACTCAAATGCTGCTTGCTTTCACAGAATAAAATGACGCTGGTCCCTTTAGTCATGTGCTATTCTTAACAATGGTGAATTGGTTTCTGCTCAGGTAAAAAAACATCGCCCCCCACAAACAGGAAGTGATGCACGTCTGCTTTTATAATATATAGCAATATCCGTTTGATTTAAATATATAGTTACTGGACTTGCTGTGGCTTAAAAAAGAAAAGCAACGCATTCAAGATCAAATAGAAGTACGTCACAGACTGGCCCACTCGATGTGACGACAGGTGGTCTATGCACAGGAACACTGCGCTAATGAGCGGTTAGCATCGTGTAGGACGAAAAAGCTGCTGCTGTCACTGAGATGAGATCACTGCAGCGTCAGGAGGCCGAAATAGACCAACCACCCAATGGAACCAAAATATGTTATTAATATACTTTCCTTTGAGTGTCACAGTACATTTGGAGAAAAAACTTCCTGCAATAACTCTCTCCACTCTCTTGATTTGAGCCTCTATTTGACAGCTTCTGGTCCTTTCCACCCACTAGGCTGCACCAAGAACAAATAATAATAATAATAATTCCTTATATTTATTATAGCGCTTTTTCCATGACCCAAAGCGCTTTACAGATACACATTACACATAACGGTCATGTACTGTGGACAATACCCACAGGAGCAAATTCAGGTGAAGTGTCTTGCCCAAGGACACAACGGCTTTACAGACGCAGCGGTGGCGGAGGGTTTCACCCCCTTGATCTGATGATCAATGCACAGCCCACTGCGCCACACCGCCCATCTTCACACCTCAAAGTCATCGAGGCGCTTTACAAGTACACATTAGTATCATACATGTACTGTGGACAATACCCACAGGAGCAAATTCGGGTGAAGTGTCTTGCCCAAGGACACAACGGCCTGACGCAGTGGCGGCGGGAGCGGGTTTCGAACTGGAGTTCCCCAACGCCCCCCTTGATCTGATGATCAAACGCACAGACCGCTGCGCCACTCCACCCATAGGAATACACTCTTGATCTGCTCCCTGTACTCATCACCTCATATAACAGCCCATCTCTCCCCGGCCACCAGAGGGGGAAGACAGGCATATTAAAATAAATAAAGCCACAGGGGACATATCAGATTTCAAATATAGTATTGCAATGACAGCTATAAACTGTAGCCTGAGTGCTTTGGATGGACTGTCTGAAGTCTTAATGTTCAATGTGGGACCAGAGAAGGGTTTTTATAGACCAAGTCCCATCAGTATACTGTGCTATTTCGTTTTTTATTTATCTGACTCAAGCTGTTCAAAAAAATATGTGTTTTTGTGCTTGGTGAACCATTTGCAGCATCATTGGGCACTTTGATCTGCTTTATATTCCTTTTTGTGTATTGATCATCCATCTCCTTTCAAACAGAGCTTGAGATACAAGTGTGATTTTATTTCAAAAATGTTCTTGCTCGATGCTTTGTTGTGTGGTGTTTATTGGTTGATGGGTTGGCAAAACACATTTTTTATCAGGTTCAAGCAGTTCTATAGCTCTATCTTTGAACTTTGTAAACCATTCACCATGTTCAGCACCATTGGGCTCTTTAATCAGCTTTTTTATATGATTTATTTTCCGTTTCTTTCTTAAACAGAGCTTAAAGGTGGGGTAGGTAAGTTTGAGAAACCGGCTCGAGATACACTTTTTGTTATATTCCATGGAATGCTCTTAACATCCCGATAGCAATGAATATCTTAAGTGCTTTGACAAAAAATCCATAAAGAAATGTCATCTGTGGAAGCCGTAGTACTGTAAAAAGCACGACCAATCATTTTAGCCGGCCCGGCTAAAATAACTGGATGGCCTACCTGCCTGTCAGCCTTCCATCTGTGCACAAACTTATCTCGTGCCCTCATTGGTCATGTGCGCGTTCGTGTGTGTTGGAGGAGGGGCTCTGTAAGGAAGTGGCAGATTTTTTCCGGCTGTGTATTTTCAAATTCTATCGCACTCGAGCTGGTTTCTCCAAAATTACCTACCCCACCTTTAAGCTATAAAACTTGATTGAGATGATTGTATTTGAGGTTTGCATTTATAACTTATAACGTTGTCTGTTGTTGTGTGGTGTTAAATGGTTAATGGGTAAATGGGTTGGCTAAATGGTTTGTTTCTTACTTAAAAAGTCAATAACCTTGGATTGTCAGATGACTTACAAAGGTCGTTTCAGTATAGCTGTAATACATAATCCAAAGAACTTCTAGCTTTTTTCAATCTGTAGTAACTTTGTTACTAAGAATTAAGTTGTATTACTTTGCAAAATAGTAGTACACATTCCTACTGCTTCTGTAACAGTATTCATTTGATTTGGAGCTATGTTATTTGTCTCAAGCTGCTTTACCATATCAAAGTGCTAATAGCCTGACCTGGTTTTTTCTAATGCTGCTAATTAGCTAATGAGTAGCTTTCAGTTTGCTATTGGATTGCAAACAACCCTTTTTCTACAGCTTGCCCTCTAACCCATCACACCAGGATTGGTGTCTTTTCCACGCTGTCCTTGTTAGAGAACTGGACCTCGCATCTCCAGTTGTCTTTGTGTGTTTTCATGCCATCAAAGTTCAGTCTTCCTCCCTCTCACCTGGATAAAAGGACCAAATAAGAGGAAGAATCGCCAAAGAGTTTGAACCCTCTACTTCAAATCCTGGCAAACACAGAAAGACTGTTTCAGCTCAACAGAGAGAGTTCATGGTTGGGTCAAACCTTGGCCGTTCTTTGGGCTGAGGTGACGTTGGCCAACCGTTGAGTCATCAAGTCGCCCAATTAGGAGTCTTTGTTTGGTGGAGGTGAGAGGTGTGTCTCTGAGCTTTCAGTTCCAGATGGGTAGAGTTGTTTGAGTCTGTCTGTTCCTGCTGACAGGGGCCCGGAAAGGTCCTAAAGGGTCCAGGAAGTCTGCTGACTTTGGATGAACTAAACTGGAACAGTGTTTATCTGCAGGCTGGCACTCAGTGTGTGACTGTCCCTCTGCCTTTTCTGTTTTCATCCAAACATTCTCTTTTTGTGTCTTTGTAGAATTTCTTTGATTTCTGACTCTCACTACTTCTGTGAGATTTCACACTCGCATAAAAACACGCTTTTCTTGGCTTTCAATGTCTTCCTGGGTCTCTTTCTTTAATGTCCTCCCTTTTAACACAAATCCATTTCTTTTTAACTCCAGAGAAACTTCCTCTGGAGGGGTATTTGGGATGTTAGCCTTTGTAGACCATTTAGATGCACAAAAACCTAAATAACACACTACAGTGAAGCAAAAACCGCAAAAGCATGACAGAGCACTTTAAGGCAGCAGTGGTTGATATGTAAAAGCTTGCATACACTAAATGATTGAGGACTTCTAAACAAGTTTTCTCTAAAAATGCATTTTAGCACAATTTAAAAGACACAAACAAAGACATGTTTATAGTGTTATCAATCTTTTCATATTCAGAATGTGTCTGTACAACATGTTCTTCTTTGAGTGCACTTTCACTCTTCCCCCCCCCCCCTCTTATTTTCATTCGCTCATGAACCATCCTCAAATCTCACAACCTTCTCAAAGTCTTTAAACACATCCTTTGGTCTCTTTCTTTTGTCATTATTATTGGCTGTGAGGAGGCAGCCATAGGGAAAAAAGAGGGAGAACTATTTCGAGTTGAGTCTCTATGGAAACAGAGAAGCAGCCGGAGGGTTCAGAGGAGGCTGACGGATCAGCACATGGCTTTAAGTTTGAAAAAAGGGCTTCCAGATTCCTCTATTCCTTTTGAATATCATGAATTAATTACAAATAGTGATGTTTAAATCTTTAATTAAAAAAAATGTGTCAGTATTTGCCGACCCCATCTCATGCCTGCTCATCAAAACCTTGCTGTGCGCTCTTTCATAAAAGTTATTTTGTTCAAATTAGTAGTAATCTGTTAACTTTTTACCCGGTACAGCTGCGCAAATATGTCATATAGCTGACATGAACAAATTAATGTTTGTAGGGTTGCCAGAGCAAAGGGATCGACTAAATCAATATGCAAATAAAAACGCTGTATTCAGTTCTGCTTAGTGATTATATAATAGTAAGTTAAACAATTTGCAGTGTAAATATAGAATCTCTTGACTTGTATGATTGGCTGCCTTAGTGTTAGAGAGTGTAAGTGGTTGTTCTTCTCCAGTATTTATGAGGGCATCAATGTGTGTGTGTGTCTTCATCCCTGTCCCATGTCTTCCTCTCCAGCTCTGCTCTATGCCACCATCTTTGGAAACGTGACCACCATCTTCCAGCAGATGTACGCCAACACCAACCGCTACCACGAGATGCTCAACAACGTCAGGGACTTCCTGAAGCTCTACCAGGTCCCCACGGGCCTCAGCGAGCGGGTCATGGACTACATCGTCTCCACCTGGTCCATGTCCAAGGGCATCGACACGGAGAAGGTGAGTCTCAGAGGTCAAAGGTCAAAGGGATAGGCTGATGGAAGATTTTAGTATTGATTTGACATCTTTGTTTGGTGGCAATGATGTTTGAGAAAAGAAACCTCCTTGTTTTATTTTAATCTGATTGGGGGAGACTGAACATGTGATGCAAGCTTACATTCCTGAGTCTCTGCAGTTTGAACATAATAATAATAATAATACATTTTATTTGGGGGGCGCCTTTCATAGCACCCAAGGACACCTTACAGGGCATAGGGGCAATATAGGGAACAATTAAAACAGTGGATTTAGTAAAATATCAGCCGGGGTAAAACAAGACAAACGGAAATGGACTACAAAAGGACACAGGGTACAGTTTATAAAGAAAATGCCAGTTTGAACAGGTGGGTTTTGAGTTGGGTTTTGAATGTTGTTATGGAATCAGACTGTGGGATATGTAGTGGCAGGGAGTTCCAGAGTCTGAGAGCCGAGCAGCTGAAAGCTCGAGCGCCCATGGTTTTGAGGCGAGAGCTTGGGACGGTGAGAAGTCCTACGGACGAAACATGTCGTTAACAAACATTGCATGCCCAGCTTTATGTGATTCAATAGAGGTTTTGCAGCTTTAGACCAAGCTGTTAGCTCAGCTCTATATTTAGAATTTAAATATTCGGGAAGAGAAACAAAAGATTAAAATAAACACACGTTCATTAAATATTCTACCATTCCTTGGATTTAATATTCCACTGTGATAATTCATCTTCTCAGAATCTTCTCCTGACGTCCATGGAGCTACGAACTTATCTCGAGCAGAACATAATCACCTTACCTGTAAAGTGCAAAATCCATTTAGGAGCCATGCATTACCTGCATAACAAGCAGCCTTCAAAGAGACAAAAAAGAATCTGATAAAAGCGATTTTCTCCCTGCCGCTGTTAGATTAAAACAACTCCTTCTCTTCCTCTCTTTGTATCTGTCTTTTAACTTACATCAGACAGGTCTAATATTACTTGGGGACATGCAGTCATTTGTTATAAGTGGAGTAAACATTCATTATTCTAACATGAATCTGTCATGTCTGTGTGTTGCAAAGTGAAGAGGTAGAAATGTATCAAAATCAGACTTCCTGCTCTGATAGCACTCTTCTGCAACGCTAAACTGTGTTTGATTTCTGGCTCTGTTTATGTTCCCTCCTTCAACTCTGGAGGAACATAAAGTATAACATTCAAGTGTATGTTTTCCTAATCTTATAGTCATGACATTTTATGGGGGGAATTTCTGTAGACAAGATTGTGTTTGCAACATTGCAATTATGTGTCTCTGTCTTCCAGGTGTTATCGATCTGTCCTAAGGACATGCGGGCTGACATCTGTGTCCACCTCAACAGGAAGGTATGTATCTCATGGTTTTCCTACAGACACTCATTAGGCAGCGCTTCACTTTATACAAAATGAAACCCAATTCATGGTTTGACTTGTGTGTCTGAATTGTGTGAAAAAAGGAAATTAGCAGTCAGCTCAGTTAGAAATATAAACATTGTTTATACAAGATGTTAGGAGTTAACAGTATCATTTGTAACTGAGACTAGTCATTTTGCAATCCACTAAACTGTTAAAAAATGAAAATGTAAAGAAAGTTTAGCTTGATTAAGTGACCCTGAACCAATGTTGTTTCTAAACTCTGTGCTAACCCTGTTAGCTTTAATTGGCATATTCCCATACCCAGACTTCCTGTACACACACTGCAGTCATATAAAGAAAGCTGTCCTTAACAGCAAAGTGAAGGCATAGCTTTCACCTGTTGAACATTTTGTCCAAAAATAAGTGGATTTTTCAAAAGAAGTAGAAGATTTGATCTGATTTTCAGCAAAAAGTCCTTTTTACCTTTGTCAAGAAATAACTTTTCCCCCACATTTTCACTGAAATAAAATGTGTGCAAAGTAAAATGTGAGAGCTAAAGAAAATTGAGCCAAAATGCAAATGTGATGCTTGTTAATTTGCCAAGGTTTTTTTTAAGTTAGTTGGTTCATCTCTACATGATATATCATATACATTGGCCGATTTTTTAAAAATTAGATAAGAAAAAGTTCTTATAAGTTCTCTCCCAGTACTTATAAAGATTTTGGTGATATTATTTTTTTCTCCATACATAATTAATATCAGTCTGATTGCTGGTGGAACATTTCAGAATTCATGACTGAAAACCTGAAAATAATTTTGCAAAGATATGTGGATTTTTCAAAGAAAAATCCAAAAGCTCAGTTTTTTGGTGGAAAACTCACTCAGGTCTTCCCACTTGTTAACAGTAATTAGATATTTTGCAAAGAAGAGTGAGACCAAATTGTAGCAACATGTAAATGTAGTGCTTGTTAAGCAGCCATAGTTTATTAAGTCAGTTTCTACCAAAAATAATGACCTAAGAAATATGCCAAAAAGTCAGTTAAAATTAGAGCCCGAATAATAATAGAGATGTTACTTGTTGTCCAGACCAAATAATGAAAAGAATAATGAAAATTAGATATTTTGCAGAGAAGCTTGTGAGAGAATAAGAGAGAATTCAAGCAAAAATGCAAATGTGGTGCTTGTTTAGCAGTGGGTTGATTTATGTAAGTTAAGTTAAGTACCCAACTCTGATTAAAAAATAATGAACCCTAGCAATAGGATAATAATTTGGTTAAAAAAAGAAAGAAATGTAGGTCCAAATTTCGAATAAAGATGTTGTCTTTGTATCCTGACACAATTAATATCACTTTGCACGCTGGTTGAAAATTGTCAGACTTGACTTGACATAACTTTAAATGTTGAAACAGCTGCAAAAAAGTCCTACAAAACATCTCTTTCTTTTCAATCTAAAGCAGAAAATGGTGTCTGAACCTGGTGTCTGCAGTAGCACAATGACGCATTCAAGTTGTTTTGGTCTCATATTGTTCTGCAATGTAGGACTCCTGAAAGAGAGCCAAACCGCTGCCCCAGCTAAACAAAGTCCTGAATAAAGACGGGGAGGTTGAGGTGTATAAGGCCACAGTTTTTGAGGGATTATTTCCTTATGGAGTCTTACATTTCTTCCTGAGAGCTTCAGGTAATTGACAGGAAGCACTGATACGAAAACACTGAACTCATCCCGGTGAAATGAGAAGCAACCCAAATGAAGACTCCACTGGTACAGTGATGGATTATCTCACTGTGTAGAGGCTGTGTTTCATTTTGCACACACAAATAGATCCCAGCAAAAGACTATTCCTGCAGAAAGAAAGCACTTTTAGACTGTAGAGAGGAAGACCTGCATGTTGCCTGATGTGCTCGAAAGGCTGCAGGATTTATTTTATTAACAGTTTGAAATGACAGCATACTTCAGCCTAAATCAGTCTTTTCATAATGATGATTTTGTTATTGGGAGAAGCTAATAATAGTAATATTAAAGTTTGTCAAATGGGTGTCGCTAAAAAAAGGTTATGCTGCACTCACAACAAAAAACATGAAATCCCCAATTGAATCATGTGTTTTTCTTCTGTAGACCTTGAATGTTAAGAAAACTGTGGGTGTTTCTCAATCGCGAGTACGCTTGCTTGGTAGCACATGTCTGCCGAGCATCTTGCTTCAGAAGCGAGTCAAGAATACTTCCTGGCATTCGGAAAACGAAGAGTGGAACAGGCGAGCAAGTGTGCAGGTGTGCGTCATATGAGAGGCCCCGCCTTACATCTTCCGCCACAGATTTGGGGAAATTGGTCCGTGCGCAAAGCATTGTGGGGATTTTAAGACCGCGGAGTCTACTCATGTGCAGCCTCGATATTTCTCCAAACGGAGTACGCCGGGCTCGGTAGATTTCCAAGTATGCTGGAGATTGGAACAGTACTTCGGCGGCACTCGATGACGTAGTACAGTATGCTTGAAATAGTGGCTCTGAAGCAGCTTTACTCACGATTGAGAAACACCCAATGTATGACTATGTTACCTGTATTGTTAAGAAAACAAAAATGTACATCGTTCCCTATGTTTAGACAGTAACGCTACAAAATATTCAAAACGACTATTAGAAGTCATACTGTAGCTTCAATGGCCATAATGAGGTCAATAAAAACACTTTGCACATGTCATAAACGAAAATGGTGTCGAGTTCAAATAATTACAAATTTAGAGTTGTCAAATTGAAGTTACCTACGGCATTTAATCTGATTCTGCAGCTAAATTAACTCTTATTTCACTCTTCTCCAGAAAAAAGAGTCTTAGAAATGTAGCTGTGATCATGTGGGCAGAGTTTGACTCTGCTCGAGCAACAGCTTTTAAAGAAAAGACAATAAAGTATTAATATCCTTCTTTCAGGTGTTCAATGAACATCCAGCGTTCCGGCTGGCCAGCGACGGCTGCCTGCGCTCGCTGGCGGTGGAGTTTCAGACCACACACTGCGCCCCGGGGGATCTGATCTTCCACGCCGGGGAAAGCGTGGACACCCTGTGCTTCGTCGTGTCGGGGTCACTGGAGGTCATCCAGGACGACGAGGTCATCGCCATCTTAGGTATGTGGACATTTACTGTTGTTGAGATCCTTTGGTGTGTAGGACTGTTGAGGTAGGTGCTTACCAACAACACAAATAAGTCAGTCTGACAGTCTCTGCTGTTGTGAAATTTGACTAGTGCTTCTTACTGTTCTGGCTTATGAGACAATCATCCTAAAAACAACATTCAAGTTTATTTCCATCAAGGGACCATTTAAACCAGAAGGGGCATTAACCAGAGTCCTGGTTTAAAAACAGGCTCTCTAAAATACCTCTTAAAGGAAAACAACTGTTCTTTTTTTTCCAGCTCTTTCTATTTGTTCTACCAGTTATAATATATGTTTCCCTTGAGCACATCAACATCCCTTCTCAATACAGAACAACCTTCAGAAAGTGGCAAACAAAACTTACTTTGTTCTGCAGGCATTTTGATTTTCAAAAATGTGTTAATGCATGTTTAATCTTAAAAGATGTCCTTTTTTCTACCTCGAAAACATCATTTTTACAGCATGTTAACTGTTTACTTATGTAATACTGCATTCTGTAGTCGACTGAAATATCAGTTTTAGTTCACCTTTGTCAATGTCTTTTTTTAAATGATAAGCCATATTATCTAAAATAAACTGCATTATTATGGTAGGTAGTGGTGCAGGAAGATACCTGTACTGCTGCCGATCTGTAATGCTAGTTTCTGCCAAGATAGTAATCCGTTACGTACGAGCTATAGATCCACTGCATCAGATAGTGAGAATCAGCTGCAGCTACAATTTATAAAATGTGAATATAGACTAGAATACAGAGAAATGGGAAAAAATAGAATAATATGGAAAGTGAGAGAAGCAAATACAATTATCACAACAGAAAATAAATCTTGTTTGGAAGGGCCAGAATTGTCTAAAGGGTTACACAGAATTAGGAGACAAAATATACGAATAACCCTCTGATTATCTTGGCTCTTCTCTCCGTCGTGTCATCAGGTGTCGATTGAGGCAGCAGTCAGAGGTTCATAGAGAGAATATTAGACGTTTGATGAATTGCTTCATCACACTGAAGACATTAATCAATACATTGTGAGCCAGTTGTCGTCAGGAGATCATGTTGCTCTGGAGAGATAGAAAGGGTCAAATCATTATTATTTTTTAAACTTGTCTGCTGTTTGCCATTTATTTCGTATTTATTTCTTCCCGATCTGCGCCTCACATTTTGAATTCATTGGTCTTCAGGCCTTTTAATGGCTAAACATCAATTTCACACACAGAGATATCCCTCTGATTTCCTGCAGGAAGGTGAGGAAGCTCTTCCAGTCTCCTGTTGAGCAGCTACTTCCAGACACTGTTTACCAAATCGGAGGCAAACACAGTTTCTATATTCAAACATTCCACACATGTATATAAGGAATTCGCGCCAGATTTAATTTGAGATTGTAGAAAAAGCTTTTGTGTTGTGAAAAAACTCTTGAAGCATGGCTAATTATGGCTGCAATGGTAGAGATACCAACATGTAAGTTATTTACACATTCATGAGGGCAATAACTCCTTTATCTTCTGTAAAAATGCTTGCATACTATACAAGTTGTCCATTTTCACATTTGTTTTGTAACTTATTTCTCCTGACACACAGTGACTTAATGAACAGCTGAGCAGAAAAGGGAGAGAAGAGGGCATATTTCTTATTCACACCTGGTCAAATGCTTTTTCCCTGCATCGAAACACACAAGGCTCAGTGGAGATGATGAAGCAAAAGGAAGGAAGTCGATGGCTTTGGATGAATAGAAGGATGGATAGAAGGATGGATAGAGAGGTGACTAGCAAGGGAAGGACAGGATTAAGGAACAAAGCAAGAGAGAAGGAGTTCAACTGTTGGTGACAAGATAAAAGAAAGATTGGAAAATTGGTATTAGAGGTAGAAGAGGGAAAACAGAAGAGAAAGATTAGAAGGATATCGGAACAGATTCAGAGAATGTGAGGGATACACAAAGGGTGGAGGGCAAATGAGGTACATTAGAAAGAGCATGGAGGAAGAAGAGGAAGATGAAGGGAGTGTTGGTCGTGGTTTTAAAGCCACTGATTTCCCCTGGCTGCGAAGTGAGGCTTCTCCCTCAGGCTGTAATACACTCTGCTCTCATTAGTGTCCAATGACACACACACACACACACACACACACACACACACACACACACACACACACACACACACACACACACACACACACACACACACACACACACACACACCACACACACACACACACACACACACACTCACTCGTGCAGCAAAGGTACTGTCGGGGTGTAGGTTTTATTACTGCTGTTTAATGTCTCTTTGCAGAGGCTCTGGAAATGAGTTTTCTCTAGTGGGGGGGGGGGGGGGGGGGAGACAATAAAGTATCTAAATACACAAGCTCATGACATCTCATACACAAAGTGCACATAAGGGAGCACACGCACATGAGCACACACCCATGAACACAATACTTTCCCCAAAGTAACAAGGCAATACTGTGGCGGTCCCCTGTAAATACTCACAAATAATGACTCTCTCATTTCCCATCATCCGCCAGGCTTACCATCCCAAACCACTTATTCAGGACATTCTGTGGGAGGCAGCCGGGATGTGTAACAGTGGGAGAAGATCTCAGTGTCACTAATGTAGCAGACAAATGGCGCGTTTCCACTACACGGCCTCGCTCGGCCTCGCTCGGTATGGCTGGGCCTCGTTAGGACTGGCTCACTTTATGGCGCATTCCATTACAGTTTAGGAACTGGGGTAGTATCTATAGTAACGCAGTGTAGGCGGAGCCGTGACGTCATCTTCAATGAGAACCCCAGAAAAACAACACAGCCGTTAGCTGTTAGCACTCAGAGCTCACAGCTCCTCATATATGTTCAGAAACTAGACAAAAGTTAAACAAGTACAAACCACAGACTGCCTGTGTCATGGTGAATACAGTCGCTGCTTTATTTATGTCTGTATAGGCCGTTGTTGTGAGTGTGGACGGTCGGAGCATATACTGCGTTAGCTTAGCCAATCTCCATTTAGAAAACACGCATTTTAAAAGGTTTTTCGCCTGCCGTCTGTCTGCAGACTTGTCAAAGCATTAATTCATGGTTTTTACTAACCGGTATCAGTATGTTGTTACTTCGGCATCATTTTGAAACGTGTATTACAATTAAATCACGGTCAAATATGTCCATCTTGTTGTAGTTGTAGCCCCCTTGCCAGCGATTCTCTCTCTAGTTTAGCATACTCAGCCCGACTCAGCCTCGTTGTCTCTGGCCCTAGACCCACGATTTTATGAGGCCAGAAAAACTTTGAATTAGGACCCGCCGGCCGGTACTAGGCCAAGTGGAAACGCAACCAAAGACGGGCCGCTGACGTCACGGCCCTCTTAAACCGTGCTCCGCGCTGTAGTGGAAACGCGCCAAAAGTTTGTCTTGCCAAAAAAGCTTAAGAGGCTTGAAAGCAGTCCAGTAATGCTTCGGACACACAGCAGCCAATTACAGCTGACTGATTTTTATTTAAGGAATCTTGAACAGTTCATGTTTTACATTGACTGACAGCTAGAAGAAACAACATATAACTTCTGTTGAAAAATGTTTTGTTAAAAAGTCCCTGGGAATGGATATGGACATTGGACATCAAATATAACAATAAGCATATAACATATTCATTTAAATATTACAAACTATGTGTGTACAGTATGTCGCCTGAAAAGGATCATTTATTTGTTTACAATATACGTGATGTATAGCAGCTAAGCACATTTTCTTTGTCAAACTTAACGACTGTCATATTGTGAGACGTATTGAAAAGTATTAGTGGGTTGCATTTGGGGTTTATTTTTGTACTTTTTACACACCGTCAGCGCTTTAGCCTGAATTATCTATTGATGGTTTAGAGAAAATCATCTCTCACACTTTTGTTGTTTTGCCAAAATGATGAGCTGATTAATTTTCTTAATCCATTATTCATGCTTGGTTATAAGAAGGAGATTTGAGTCTGGCCTTCTATTCACACTGCAATATGTTCAGACCCAGAATGCAATGCTTCAGCGGTGAACAGTAGGAGGTCAGCCTGCATATACTGCACTAGTCTGGCTGCGTCACAAGATCTTATATTGAGAATATGCGGGGCTGTTTTTACGTGGAATATAGGGATGAATTTGATAAGAGGTTAAAGGGAGGATGATTAAAGGCATCAGAGAGATAAAATGTCCTAATTTTTTAACCATCTTAAGGCTCAGATATAATTCTTTGAAACTCACAATTATACTATTGAACAGAAAATACCTCTTTTGACAACATTATATCCCAAACATGATGTACCCTCTATATTTATATGCATTTCAGGATAAGAGCTTTGGAAAGATGCTAGCGATACTTCAACGCATTAACACTTAGTCAGTAATGGAGGCTTGATTCAGGAAGCTTTCTGTTGGGAAAATACTGAATGTACTCTTCCAATATCAGAGTAGCACTTGATAACAAAGGCCCTACGTAGCTGTGTACATGACAAGATGTATAATTAGCTGGAAGAGGACACACTGTTTTAGGCATATGATAGCTATGTGACAACGATTATCATGCTGATTCAGCCTGTGACGTGGGTCTTAGCTAATCTAAACAAAACATTGTATACTGCCTTGAACCGGTATTCCTCCATCTTGTGACTGTGTAACTCCCTCTCTTGTATATAAGCATGTGAAGGACACTGTCCGGGGAACTAGTTGTACCAAATGCTCTGTATATGATGACTACTTCCATTCTTGCAAGGATAATAAATACATGTATCCTGATATTGAAGCTCAAGCCGGTGACAAGTGATATTTTTCTAACACTTTCATTGTTGGGTTGTGCAAATGAAGCCTGAGCACAAACCATCTCGTATTTATGTAGATGGACCCCAAATGCATTGTCTAGGCATTCTTTGTCTCGAAATTGTTTTAAATTTGACTGCATTTTTTAAAATGTATTAAAGGTGGTTGCTTTCATGCTAAACGGCAAAAAGATATTCCCTTAAAGT